GGGCGCTGTCCCTCAGCTCCTCAGTTCAAAGCTAGCGCTCTACCACTTGAGCCACAGCACCACTTCTGGCTTTTTTCTTTTTGCTTATGTGGTGTTGAGGAATCGAACCCAGGGCCTCATGCATGCAAGGCAAGCATTCTACCATTGAGCCACCTTCCCAGCCCAAAAGCCTGTGTTCTATGAAATGAGTTAACATTTTCCCCAGGTTTTCACCACTTCCTAATCCTTAGAATAAGGACTCACCACCTGAGCCATTCTTAAGATTCTTCAAGGAACCCTACTGAAATAACATCCTTTCAGCCCAAGAGACTAAAGACAGGGATGGTTGTTGCCTTATTTATTTATTTATTTATTTATTTGGTCGTTCATATGGCTTGAACTCTGGGCCTGGGCACTATCCCTCAGCTCTTCAGCTCAAGGCTAGCACTCTACCACTTGAGCCACAGCACCACTTCCAGTATTCTGTTGGTTTACTGGAGATAAGAGTTTCACAGACTTTCCTGCCCAGGCTGGCTTTGAACTGTGATCCTCATTATCTCAGCCTCCTGAGTAGCTAGTATTACAGGTGTGAGCCACCAGTGCCCAGCAGTTGCTGCCTTCTTAAATATGCTTTTCCTTCCAGCCACTGTTAGACAACAGAATGATGTAATCCACAAGCAACTGTCAGCTTTTGGAGAATATGTGGCTGAAATCCTGCCCAAGTATGTTCAACAAGTTCAGGTAATGTTCTCTAGTGTCCTTAGATCTGGGTAAAGAAAGAACTATGTCCTCAGGGCATATGGGAATGGGCAGTCTGTCTTGAAAGAAACCATAGGTTTCATCCCAAGCCCAATCTTCTTTCTCTACCTTAAACTAAGTCTAGTTAAAGTTACTGCTCCCTAATGGCTTTGTCTTCCCTCTTCCCTGTCTATAGGTGACCTGCTTCAATGAGTTGGAGATCTGTATCCATCCTGATGGAATCATCCCAGTGTTGACTTTCCTCAGGGATCACACCAATGCACAGTTCAAATCCTTGTCTGACTTGACAGCAGTAGACATTCCAACTCGACAGAACCGTTTTGAGGTTAGCCAGATTTGAGGTGGTTTGAGTAGTAAGACTAAGGAAGGGAATAGGACATTTTCAGGTAACAGCCATCTATGGGAACTGTAGCTTGCTTCCTTACAGTTTCAGTTTAGGTCAAACAGTAAAACATAGCAATTGAACCAGGGCTGTAGCATTTAGTAGACACTGAAGGTGAATATTGGGTCTGTTGTTAACTGATTGCATAACCTCAAACATTGTTTTGATTTTTCTTTTTTTGGTTGTGGGGCTTGAACTCAGGGCCTGGATGCTGTCCCTGAGCTTATTTTGCTCAAGGATAGCACTCTACCACTTTGGGCCATTGGGCACTAAGTGTTCTGGTTTCATGGTAGTTAATTGGAAAGAAGAGCCTCATAGATTTTTCTCCCATTGCTGGCTTTGACCCATGATCCTTGGATCTCAGATCTTCTGAATAGCTAGGATTACTGGCCTGATTTTTTTTTTTTTTTTTTTTTTTTGTGCCAGTCCTGGAGCTTGAATTCAGGGCCTAGACACTGTTCCTGAACTTCTTTTGCTCAGGACTAGTACTCTACCACTTGAACCACAGCACTACTTCTGGCTTTTTCTGTTTTTGTGGTACTGAAGAATTGAACCCAGGGCTTTATGCATGCTAGGCAAGTACTCTACCACTAAGCCACATTCCCAGTCTCCCCACCCCCTTTTTTGAGATAGGATCTTGCTGTATTGTTAACCTGAAACTTGAACCATCTGGTTCCTCCAGCTCTTTCTGTTCCCCCTAGATTGTCTACAACCTGTTATCTCTGCGCTTTAACTCACGGGTTCGTGTGAAGACTTATACAGATGAGCTGACACCCCTAGAATCCAGTGTCTCTGTGTATAAGGCATCCAATTGGTATGAGAGGGAGGTGAGTTACTCTACATGGTGGGCTCTGCCTCTGGGCCAGAGTTGCCAGAACTGGTTTGAACCATAGTTAAAATCAGTATGGCCACTCATCTCTGTTGTTGGGTTTGCTGTCCTGGTTGCCTGAGAACATTGTGTTTGTAGATCTGGGACATGTTTGGAGTCTTCTTTGCTAACCATCCTGACCTAAGGAGGATCCTGACAGATTATGGCTTCGAGGGACATCCTTTTCGGAAAGACTTTCCTCTCTCTGGTTATGTTGAGGTAGGAGTCTGGAGAC